TTTTCAAAAGGGGTGCTTTGAAGGGGGGGGGGTCAGGTCAGGAGGGTGGTCTCGAACGGTCTTCGGGGCCGAAGCCTCAACCCCCCCCAAACCTTCCTTCGCCAGGACCGGCCCTATGACGTGCCAGTGCCGGATGTGGTAGCGGACTTGGCCAAGTAAGGGTGCCACAATGAGAGCTGGAACTTCGGGCTTCGCGGATCAGAATGGGGCTTAGGAGGGAGTCTTTGCAGGTTCGGAGGGGTTGGGCGGGGAAGGGCTCGGGGTGCAACAAGGGGCCACCCATGGACAGCCCTCACCATTCTTGCCGTGTTTTGGAGAATTGGCAGAAGTTAGATTGTGGGACCTATCAGAACCTAAGCCCTTATAAGTTTATAAGCTCTCAAACCCTGCATAAACCGCAAGTTAGAGAGCTGGTCATGGGTCTCTGAGCCAAATGCTTTGCAACTTGGGCCTAAGAGGCTTCACCTGCCAAATTCCAAAGGCGCACATGTTTAATGAACATCTTTCATCGGAGTCATCAGGGTTTAGCTATATTATATTATCCAGAATATTCTGGAATATTATAGTTCGTTATCGCACGTAAAAGAATAGTGTGACAGTATATTGCTTGTGCTATATTCTCGTACATGGTAGCATTGTGGCATGGTAGCATGTTGCGGCGTGTTGCAGCGTATTGCAGTATACGATCTTATCGTCCCTGAGCCCAAAACCTAAAACCCGAAAACCCTGAACCCTAAAACGCTAGCCGTTGCCGGGCCTAAGGTCAGAAACTACAAGCGGCCGCTTGGAAGCAACGCAAGAAGGGCTGGCGGTGGCAGGTCTAGAGGGCTTAGCCCTAAAACCTCAACTAGGACTCCAAACCCTAAACCCTCAAGTAGAACTAAAACCCTAGACCCGAAATCGCGACAGTAAACCCTGAGCCAGAACCCTAAGCCACAAAAATCACATTAAAAGCACCGCCTGTAGCATCCTTCTGTTTATGTGGTTTTTTTGGGCCCCTAGCACCCCAAAAACACTGCAAACCCTTTAGGGGGCTCCTGAGCCTCCTACACCCTGAAGTAAGCCCTAAACCCTAAACCCCAAACCCCAAACCCTAAACCCTAAACCCTACAAACCCTTTCGGGGGCTCCTGAGGCTGGCTGAAGTCTGGCTCGACGGCCACAAGTCGTCGTTCTACAAAGCCGAGCTCCCAGCGCCGGGAACAGGGAAAGCATGGCCATGCGGACTAGCTAGCTATCCAGTATTTGGCACCTGTGGGGTGTTTTGCCAGCGATGTTTCCCAGATTATTTTGTGGTAGGTTTTGTGGAACCGAGTATTATGCAAAGTTACTTTTCTTCAGCAAGCAGCTACCCTCTATAGCTATCTGCTTACATGCGTATACGTGTATGTTTGAACATACGATATATAGCAGTATGCATATATATATATATATATACATACAGTACATACATATACATATACATATACATATACATATACATATACATATACATATACATATACATCTACATGTGCATATGCATATGCATATGCATATGCATATACATGTACATGCACATGTACATATACATATATATATATATATAGTGTTATTGTGTTCATGGTTTGTGTGTATGCACATCATGCAGTCTACATACCTCGGCCCCAGACAACTGCGGTGTCACGCCACCCGGTCCTCCCACCGAACGAAACCTCAAACCCCCCAAGCATGGACCCGGGGGGGGGGGGGGGGGGACAAATCTAACCCTAAACCCTACTGCAAGTTTGGGAACCTCCTGAGTGCGCAAGGTCAAGCCGGAAGCGCGCGGCATGTCTGCTGGCGACCTGAAGGACCCAGCTTCTTTTGGTAAGAAGTCAGGGCCAAACAGGCCACATAAACATAAAGATCCTATTGCCGGGGCGCTTCGACCACCGTCATGCTTGCACTAGCTGTCGGTTGGGCTTTCCTGTGATGGCAAACGAATGCATGTATCCACTTCTACTCTGCAGCTCTAGCACTATAGACAGGCTAGCAAGGCTAGCAGAATCGTCATACAACGCCACTACGTATAACATGCATGCAGGTGTTGTAGTTTTGTTCTTCTTTTTCTAGCTCTCCCTAATTTGTCTTTTCTATCTTGTCTTTCACGAGTACACCAGCGGCCTAGCTTTCCAGGCAGGACCTACCTTCTGAAGGTCCCCTGCCTTGATATACGGAAACAAGTATACTAAGTATGGCAGGCTTGTCTGAAGGGTCCTGGAGGGAGTTGGGGTGGCTTACTTTGAGAATCCGTTGCTTCGCCTCCGTACAGCCAGGAGATGCAGCGCATGCGGGCGCAGCTGCAGTGCAGGGACATAGAGCCTCTGTCAGCAAGCGCGGGGACAGGTGCTGGAGTGTGTCGCCCAAAGCCTGAAGAGGGTTGGTGGATTGGTGGTTGAGGCTGGCTTCGTGGATGCAGGCGATGGCTGTGGATTGGCTTTAGCGGCACCTGGCTTAGGACTGGTACCTGCAGAATGTGGACGTGGAGCTCGCCTGGGAGGCCACGAGTTGTTTGCCGCTTGTGCCGCGTATGGGTTGGCCTCAGGTGTGCTTGGTTTCTGCCAAACGAAGTTATTCTTGGCTTCTGATTTTTGTGTGGCAGACCCCCTGAACCTTTAAACATCCCTCCTCAATGCCTCCTCTTAGCAGTCCCCAAAAGCCAAAGTGCCCAGCACCACCCTTGCATTCTAGGTCGTATCTCGCCTTAGGACCACCCAACAGAGGGCACCCCCATTCTGCCCCGTAACCCAGCAAGCGCCGCCAACCAAAGCTCCCCAGAGCCCCTCCAAAACCCCCAAAGAAACAGCATGAAGCCGCGCAGTGACCAGGAGGCCCACATCTGCATCCCGGGTGCGTCCAAGGCCGCGCCCCTGCAGTCACATCTGGGGCCCACCTTTTTAACCCCCTGCAGTCCGAGAGTCCGAGATGATGATGACTTTGACTTTGCTTGTTCTTATGTTGGTGACTGTTATGATGCTAGTGACGATCAGGATGATTCTATGACACATCGTAGGCCGTGCGTGTTTCCCGTCTTTGTCAACTGTGTCTTTTCCGTTCAGAATTGTTGATTCCCATTCAGTACTCATTATTTGCATTTCAGGTGGTGTGATTGCTGCGCCTTTTTTTCTGCAGTCGACAGTTGGGGTTTGGGGTTTGGGGTTGAACCGTGTATTTGGGAATCAAGTTGTTCTTGCATGTTTTTTCGTTCGCTTTACTAGGCCTCGAAGGGAGTACCCCGAAGGATTTGGGCTTTAGGGTTTTTATCATGCTGCAGATGGAGTTACAGGCAGACCACATCGGCACGTCAACCCAGGCCCAGAATGGTTGCGATTCGAGCAAGCCAGCACCGAGCAGGAGCACCCTGGACAAGGCCCCCCGCGAGGTTTAGGGGTTCACGGCTTCAAAGGCTTCAGATGCCAGAAGTGTCTGGCATCTCCATTGTGAAATGTTTCATCATGAGGTGGAGCACTAGCGGAAGCCAGACAGGGCCTTCTTTTTGGGGTTTTTTGCTTCTGTTTCTACATGACCCGACGTGGTGGGGGGGGTGCTCGCTTAGGGTTTCTTTTGGGGGAAGCTTTGGGTTTTCAAGGGGTTGCTTACGCAACGCGTGCGTTGCAGGTCATGCCGCCGAAGGATCCTGGGCAGATATTCAGCGCCCAACGAAGGCCATCTAAAGCCTCTGAAACTTTCAAAGCCCTTCGTTCCTGGAACTCTACTTGGCCTGCGAGTTAGTGGCCAGTGCCTCGCACTCCAGGTAAACAGGAACCCATCAAGCGGCCCTCTTCCCCCCTTCCCCCTTCCAGCCACAAAACCCCCAGCGAGCTTGGTCTTTTCTTTGTGGTACTTTACCGTAACTTTAGATCCTTACCTTTTTTGGGTTTATTGGGGTTTCTTAACAAGGCAGCTAAAAGTTTAATTTATAGCTACCCTCCTGAGTGCAGCCAAGTTCTTGGGGTTTCCCAACCCAAAGCCCTTCAGGCACAGGATTGCCAAAGGGAAGCCCACAAACCCGAGCTGAGCCCTGTCCTCTTCTGCCCAAGGGAAGTTACAATGTCTTTCAAAGGTTCTGAAGTACGGGCCGTTGGGTTAAGTTTTGTTGTGTATGTGTATGGGGCATATAACCAAAAAGCTCATGGAACTCCCCAAAGATTCTGCTCCAAGGAATTCAGGCAAGCGCGGAGTGCGCTAGATCCGAGCTTCCAGTTCCCCGGCGAGTTCGACAGCTGAGCCCTGCGGCGAGCGTGCTCGCACCTCCGGCCAGAGGAAAGCGCGCTTCCGTGGTGTTTGTGTGTTTATAGGGTCTAGGGCCTTTTTAAGCTTTTAGGGTTCTTAGGGTTTAGGCCTTTTTAAGCTTTTAATTAGGGTTGTTAGGGTTTAGGGCCTCAAAGGTTTCTAGGTATTCTGGCTTTTTGAGGTTTTAGGGTTTTTAGGGTTTAGAGCTTTGTGGCTTGGAGATTGGAGCCCCCCACCCGAAAGCCCAAACAAAGGCTCAGTCGAGCCTGTGTGCAAAGAAGGGTAGCCTACCCCGACACCACGGTTTTGAAGGGTAGACATTGTAATCCCCAAGCCCTAAACCCTAAACCCCTAAACCCGAAGCCCTAAACCTACCCTTAGGTAAACCCTGAACCTTGAACCTACCCTTAGGAGGTAAACCCAGAACCCTGAACCTTGAACCTACCCTTAGGAGGTAAACCCAGAACCCTGAACCTTCAACCGTAAGCCCTAAGCCCTAAACCAACCCTTAGGTAAACCTATGACCCTGAACCTTAAACCCTAAACCCTAAACCTACCCTGAAGTAAACCCAGAACCCTGAAACCTGAACCCTACCTGAACCCTAAACCCTAAACCCACCCTTAGGTACAAAAAGATGGAAGACGCCCCCGTAAACCCTAAACCCTAAACCCTAAACCCCAAACCCCAAACCCTAAACCCTAAACCCTAAACCCTAAACCCTAAACCCTAAACCCCCCCTTCCCAAGGCCCCGGGTTGCCTTCAGCCGCTGAACGGGCGCGCGGCCCAAGAAAAAGATGGCTTTCCTTAGGGGTTGGGGGGGGTTCAGGGGGCTTAAGGAGTTTAGGGTTCAGGGTTTCGGGTATTTAGGGTTTGGGGTCTAGAGTTTAGGGTTTTAGGGTCTAGGGCTCAGGGTTTCGGGTTTTAGGGGTTTAGGGTTGATCTAAATCATGGATTGTGATTAAAGTATATTCCCTATATAGAGTGCATAGGGTAGTTAGGGCAATTCGGGTTTAGGCAGGGAGCCTTCAACTCTCCCTCAACCCATTCCGGTCTTGAACCTCGCGGGCCCCTGAGGTTTGTGACGTGGGGAGTAGCTAAGAGTATCCTGGGACACTTGTGGGGAGGGTTTAGGGTTGTAGGCTTATAGGGTTGTAGGCTTATAGGGTTATAGGGCTACAGGGCTATGTGGGCTATAGGTTTGAGTGTTGTAGGCGCGGCAGGTTGTGGAGATTATCGGGTTCTGGGGGGGGGGGGGGTCCTCAAGGGGGGGTGTGTAACCCAAGGTTCCCTAATACTCCCTATACTCCTCCCCAAGCTTCCCTAAGGTTCCCTAGGTACCTACCCCCCCATGAACCCCCCCTCCCTCAAGAACCTTGTGGCCAAAAACGCGTCAACCCCAAATCCCAGACCCTGGAACCCTTGGGCCCGAAGCCTAAAACGGGAAGTTGGGACATTATGGTACCCCCTATTCTAATCCCCACTAAGGACTGCGAGTATAAGGGGGAACATCCCAACCTATAAACCCCTAAACCTTTGGAACCCTCCACCCTTGGACTCTGAGACCTAGAAGCCTTGAAATCCTTGGACCATCCTAAAACCCTCAACCCTACCAAATCCCCAAACCTAAGCCCTCAGCCCCCTAAACCCTCTATAAACCCTATAAACCCTATAAACCCCATAAACCCTATAGACCCTATAAACCCCATAAACCCCAGAAACCCTAGAAACCGTATAAACCCTATAAACCCTGTAAACCCTACAAACCCTATAAACCCTAAACCCCAACACCCGAGACCGGGCCGTTCGAAGCCCCCAGCCAGTTACCCGAAACCCTAAACCCTAAACCCTAAACCCTAAACCCTAAACCCTAAACCCCCATAACCCAGAGGTCCATGCCATGGTGCCCGAAGATCCAGTTCGCCCGGAGCTCGGGCTCGGCCACCTCCGGGTTTAGGGTTTAGGGTTTAGGGTTTAGGGTTTAGGGTTTAGGGTTTAGGGTTTAGGGTTTAGGGTTTAGGGGTTCAGGGTCTATGGGGTTGGGTTTAGGGTTTAGGGTTTAGGGTTTAGGGTTTAGGGTTTAGGGTTTAGGGTTTAGGGTTTAGGGTTTAGGGTTTAGGGTTTATATGGTTTAGGGTTTATATGGTTTAGGGTTTATATGGTTTAGGGTTTATATGGTTTAGGGGTCAGGCATAAGCCCCCTAATCCCTGATGACTGGGACCCAGAGTAGGCCCTTATTCCCCACCCTCGGTGTGGGGTTGTTAGATTTGAAACTCAACTCGTATCGTCTCCTCGCCCGGAAGTCTTCTCCTCGCCCAGTCTACTCCTCGCTCATCCCTGGACTGGAGTGCCCAACCCCAGAGTGTCCTGGAGTGCCCAAGCCAGAGTGTCCCTGGCCTGGAGTGCCAGTAGAGTATCTCTACCCAGAGAGGGTGGGGATGTTCGACGTGAAATAATTCTCTATTTCTGGCTTCGGTTCCCGGAAAAGCCCCACTGTAAAGTAAGCCCTGCACCTGACCAGGAACGCCCGTGCAGCCTACACCGGCAGAAGAAGAGCCAGGTCGGCGGCATTCTGGAGTGTTTAGGGTTTAGGGTTCAGGGTTTAGGGTTTAGGGGTTTTCAGGAGTTCTCGAAGGGCCTTGCTTGTCGGCGTTTCGGGCTTTAGGATACTGCAAGGCGTTCACAAGCCTTGAAACCTGTAAAGCCCTACCTTCTAGAATCCTCAAACCTTCAAAAGCCCTACGCCATTAGCGATCGGGTCCTTGTAGGGTAACTGCCAATATGGTATCAACGAAAGCGACACGCTGTCCTTTTTTGTCCTTCACCCTAGACCCTAAACGGCCCTAAACCCTAAACCGTAAACCCTAAACCCTACACCCCTCCCTGCAAAATGTCGAAGGCGATGCGCAGCGCCAGCGCCAGCTGCACACGACTGGCTCCGCTTGCGGAGGACGCACGGGCAGGCAGACGGCTAAGAGGGTTGTACAAGGCTTTAGGGTTTATGCGGTTTATGGGGTTTGTAGGGTTGGCCGGGGTTTATAGGTTTAAAGGGCTTGTGTTTGGTTTACAGGTCTTTGCGACTCGGGTTTATCTAGGGCTCAGAGAGCCCCCAAAGTTTGCAGGGTGTTGTCGGGTTTCGGGGTCGCAGGGTTTGGGCTTTGGGGATCTTTTAAGGGGGTTTACAGACAGCAGGCTTTATAAAGGGTTTAAATCGATTGTAGGATTGAAGTGTGGTCTGGTGGGTTGAAATTCGAGACTCGGGGGTTTGCGGATTTCAGGGTTTAGGGCTTGGGGTTGACATATTCTGGGCTCCCCCGCCGACGGTCAAGAGTTGCTTCAGTGCTTCCCACGAAGTCCTGGTCTTGCAGCCGCAAGAAATGTACACAGGGCCTGGAGCTAGTATGCCCTAAGTCCCGCCCAAACCCGACCCAGCACCCTGAGCCCTAAACCCGAAACCCTAAATCCTGAAACCCTGAACCCTGAAACCCGAAACCCTAGACCCTAAACCCTAAACCCTGAACCCTGAACCATGAACCCTGAAACCTGAAACCTGAACCCTGAACCCTGAACTCTGAACCCTGAACCCTAAACCCTAAACCCTACTCACCCCGACCGGCCAGGTGCTCCGCCAAGTGCGGGGCGTAGCTGCAGCGAAGGCCCCGCGCCGGGTGCCGTGCTCGCGAGGAGCCTGGCCATCCCAGAGGAAGGCGGCCTAGGGTTTAGGGTTTAGGGTTTAGGGTTTAGGGTTTAGGGTTTAGGGTTTAGGGTTTAGGGTTTAGGGTTTAGGGTTTAGGGTTTAGGGTTTAGGGTTTAGGGTTTAGGGTTTAGGGTTTAGGGTTTAGGGAAGTTTAGGGCCTGCTTTGGGGAGGTCTGGGTGGGTTTGGGGTTTTTGTGTGGGAGGCTTAGGGCTTACAGGGCTTAATTGGGTGTGCAAAATTCGGGTCAACCCGAAACCCTCAAGCCTCAACCCTCAACCCTCAACCCTCAACCCTCAACCCTAAACCCTAAACCCTAGCTCTTTGGCTCAGTTCTTTGTTTCTCCTTTCCGGATGTCTGGGTTCGGGTCCTGGGGCTTGGCTGTGTTAGGGTTTGAATATTGGAATATTCCCCCATATACGAACAGTCCTCAATGTATATGCCCCTTGTGAATTATTTTTTGTTTATATAAAACCCAAGAGGATATTAAATATTAATATTATTGTTATTGAGGTTCTAAGGGGAGTATCGTATAAATAGGGATTACAGGACCTCCTATTGTAATCCTTATTAAGGACTGCTAAAAAGGGTGCAAACTCCCACTTGAAATGCATACTGAGGGTACCCCTGGGTTCGAGGTTTCGGCTCAGGCTATTTCGACTAATCTTTGGTGTGGCACCTACATCTCAAGCTTCACAGGTTTTCCAAGCCGAAAACCCAAGAGTTGAAGCTAGAGGCTTCTTAGAACACTCGGCCTGCCTGTGCCAGGCCGCGTTCTTCGGCTGGAGGCCTGCAATCCCAGGGCTACTTTGCACCGGTTTAGGGTTTAGGGTTTAGGGTTTAGGGTTTAGGGTTCAGGGTTTAGGGATCTAGGAATCGGTATCTTTAAGCTTCCATGCCGACTGGTAGTAGTTTCCCAGGGCTCCCTGTGGTACCGAAATGAGGACTCCTGGGCTCTGCCTTAGGGTCTGGCCCGAATCCTGATGTAGAAGACACGGCCGCTTGCCCAAGCCCTGCAACAAGTGCACCTCAGCCATCACCCAGCGACCCGAAACCCTTCAAAAATGCAGCCGAGCCAAGAAATCCTCAAGTCTCATTACAGACCCCGCCCTAAACCCTAAGCCGTAAGCCCTAAACCCTAAACCCTAAACCCTAAACCCTAAACCCTAAACCCTAAACCCGAAGTTTCAGCACTTGGGTTGCCCTGCCAGCCGAGCGATGCCGACGACGAGTTCTGCAAGTTGCTGGTGGGCACCAAGACAAGAGCCCAGACACATGCGAGTATGTGGAGTATGTCGGGTTTGGGGCTCAGGGTTTATGATCGCGGTTCTCGTCAGGGTTCCTTGCGTAGATTGCCTCATCAGAACGTGCACGGCGCGGGAAGTCGCTGCTGTGTCTCCTTCTTTTTACATTTTTTTTTGTGATTTTCTGATGTGCATCCCGGGACATTTGGATCATGCCAGGTTCGTGAGCTGTAGTGTTTGGCTTCTTGGGAAAGGTGTGGGGCTATTGGCTCCTAGGCGGAAATAGTCGGACCATCAGAGCACTATGATCCCACTGCTATAAATCACGCGACTTGCTCGGACCAAAGGTTCACGGATACAGGCCCCCAGTCCATGGTGAGCAGCCAGAGAAGTGGGCTTTGGGTTTATTTTATTGGTATTGGCCCAAATAGGGGTACCCCCCCCCCCCCCCCAAGGGAACCCCCATTGTTGGAAACAGCTTGATCTTGGTTTGTTGAGGAGCAGAGACTTCAGGGTCTAAGGCCCTGCCCAACCCCCCTAAGCCCAAGCCATTCCGGCAAAATTCTTCCCTTGCTGCAACCTGCGCCAGACCGCTGCGCTGGCAGCACCCCGAGACGCCGAGGGCTATGGCCTTGAGGCTGGGAAGCGGCTTCAGGTTTTGGAGCTCTGGTTTCAGGCCTTTGGGGCCTTTTTGGGGGGACGTCGAATGATGCTGAAGTAGACTCCGCAACAACTCCAGCGGCGCCTGGGTGGAAACTTGGTTTGAAGTAACGCAAACTCTCCCACATGGGGTCCTTCTACAAATCTGATCTCACACAGCGCACAGCTGTGTCCAATCCTAAACCCTAAACCCTAAACCCTCAACCCTCAACCCTCAACCCTAAACCCTAAACCCTAAACCCTAAACCCTAAACCCTAAACCCTAAACCCTAAACCCTAAACCCTAAACCCTAAACCCTAACCCCTAAACCCCTAAACCCCTAAACCCCTAAACCCCTAGCCCCTAAACCCTAAACCAGAGCCTATGCCAGGCATCTCCGCCACCTACCCCGGTGCCAGGCCCACACATCTGCTGGGGCCTTTGCCTCGCTGATAACTACTGTGCGGGCGGGCGTCATGCGACGCATGTCCGATCCTAGGGCGCTTTGGAGAGTAGGTTTAGGGTTTGGGGTTTAGGGCTTAGGGTTTAGGGTTTAGGGTTTGGGGGTTTTGGAGGAATCCTCCTGGATAGAGCAGCCAGCTGACCGCCATGGGCTTGTTCAACATGTGGCGGCAGTGGTGGCGGCAGTTGTGGTGGTGCGTCGTGGTGGTCTAGCGGCGGCGGTGGACGGGCGGTGGTGGTACCAAACTCCGTTCTTTTCAGTTCGATCTGCACGACAATGTCTCCTCAAGCACCACTAGTGGAACACCCACCCACCACCAGCACCAGCAACTGGCAGCAGGACTAGCCCAAAACACCACCCAAAACCAGCCGCACCTACCATGGCAACCTCTGCAACTGCCGCCAATGCCACTGCCACTATTTGCTTTAAGGAGCCCCCCCCCCCCCCCCAAAAAAAAAACAACATAATAATCCCTATATTCCCCTTATAAGGGGTCTTTATTTTGGGGGCCTCTTAAGCGAATAGTAGACTACCCTAACAGCAGGGCGAGTAAAAGGTGTGCTTTTTTTGGCGCCCTGAGGCTCAGATGCAGATGCAGCGAAGGGGGCAGAGCCGGATGATGACAAGGTGCCGGGAGCCATGTCCTTTGAGGGGTTGACCGATCCTGTGTCAGGGAGACCCTAAACCCTAAACCCTAAACCCTAAACCCTAAACCCTAAACCCTAAACCCTAAACCCTAAACCCTAAACGTAATGCGCAGCGCCATCTTACGCCGTATTTAAGTTTACTCGCTGCAATTTCTGTTGCCGTCAAAGACAGGGCTTGGTCGGCACATGTTCTGAACAGCTGTTTAGGTGTTATAGCCCCGAGGTCCTAGCCAGCAAAAGATGGTGCTTGCTCAGTACGAGTTTTTTGGGGGTCCCCGGAAGAACCATATGTTTGACGCTGTGCTGGACATTTTCCTCAAGGTGGATTGTTTTGAGTAGGTTCCGCTACAAGCCCCCTTAGGCAAAAAAAGGGCTTGTTCAGGGTTTAGGGTCTGGGGAGACAGATTTCTGAGGAGCCGAGTTTAGCGCAAGGGCCGAACACTTAGAATTCGGCTAGGTGCGGCCCGGCGCGAACTGCTGTCCGCAAAAAGACGCTCTTGGTAAACTAGGGTCTCTACGCTGTCTTTCGAATTTTGCTCACCTGCATAAGGTACGTAACCTAGAGATGGAATCCTCGAGCGCAGTGAACACGATGATTTCCTTGCCCCCACCCCCCCAAGCATGGGGAGCAGGAGCCGGACGGCGAGGTCACCATGCCGCCGGAGCTCCGGCAGCCGTCGCCTGGGCCTGTGAGACAGACGTGCAAGTGTAGGGGTTTTGGGGACCTTGGGGCTTTTTGCAATGTGTTGCGGGCCTTGGAACGGCTTCGCGATGGAGGTTCAGGGATTTACGCCCCCCCGCCCCCAAGTAGTTTCTATGAGGAACTGCTAGCCAGAAGCTCGGAGTTCTCCCACATGTGTTTTCTGGGGGCATGTCGGCACCATGTCACCACCCCAAGAAGAGCCCCAAGACTTTGGACCATGTCGCCTGGATTCAGGATTTGTAGGGTTTAGGGCTATGCTGAAGAGCCCGAGCTGGATCGCACATGTCGGTGAACAAAACTTCAGGGGGTGGTAGAAGCACCAAATAATTTCTGAAGTAAGCAAAGTGAACTCGGGACCTAACTGCGTTTTCGCGGTGGGTTAAAGCAGGCCATGAAAACGTCCAGTTTCATCGGTTTGTCATTTTCAGGGGCCTGTGTTGAAATACTAGACTAGTAGGCTCTTAGGGTTTCAGGTCTAGAGGGTTTAAGACTGCAGGGGTTTAGCGTGTACTTCCTGGCCCTCGAGTAAACATCCCTATCCATGAATGTGGATGCTTTGGTGGCAAGGATCGCGGCAAGCATGTAACTAGTCATGGTGAACCCTAAACCGTAAACCCTAAACCCTAAACCCTAAACCCTAAACCCTAAACCCTAAACCCTAAACCCTAAACCCTAAACCCTAAATGCAAAGTCATGCACAAGAGAGCCGGCACGATCACCATAAACGCTCACAGGTGCACGTGATGAGCATCAGCAAGCGAGGCCGATCCCTCCAATCGAGCATCATGAGCATCAGCACGAGGCCGTCAAGCCTTATGGCCGCGTGCTACCCGTGCAGGTGTTGACTATTTCTTTCCACGCCATGGTTTAGGGTTTAGGGGGTTTAGGGTTTAGGGCTTAGGGTTTAGGCTTTAGGGGCTTTTATCACTTTGCAACGAGGTCAGCAGTCAGCAGCATGCTGGTTCTGAAAAGTCTCGGAAGGGATGTGGAAGAAGTGCCCCTGGGGCGCCAGACTAAGGTAGACTGTTGTGCTTGGTGTCACACCGGCAGGTGTGAGCAAGCCTTGTGCTGATACGCGGGGGGTGCATGTCGGCACGTGGTCTCTTGTGACTGACACGTGTGAGACGAACCCCAAAACCCCAAACCCAAACCCCAGGCCCTAAACCCTAATCCCTAAACCCCAAGCCCTAAACTTCCCATGTCCCCAAAAACTCAACGCCTAGGCAGTCGAGGCCTCAGCTGACGCCGGAGCCTGAGCCGCCCCTGCACCCTTTTTTCCCGGTTTAGGGTTTAGGGCTCAGGGCTTAGGGCTTAGGGTTTAGGGCTTGGGGTTTGGGGTTTAGGGTTTAGGACAAAACCGACACTCTCATACTGCAGTTGCTCCGGTGCAGGCAGTGTGTAGTGCCTTGCTTAGGGGTTGATGTTTCAGACAGAGTATGGAATGTAGCGTGCCCCTAAACCCTAAACCCTAAACCTAAACCCTAAGCCCTAAACCCTAAACTGCCCTCTTGACGTACTCGAGGCTACCAGCGAAGAGCATTGGACATGCAGAAGGGTGCTCGTGTTTGTTTTTGTTTTTTCGTTTTCTCTCCTGTGGTGTGGGGGAAACGGACTCCGGTTTGCGCTGCCTTGAGGCTGCACAATCTAATGTAAGAAGTTTGCCCCCAGAATGGAGAATCTCAATGGGGGTTTGCGTACATAGGGGACCCCCAAATAGGAGGATTCCCTTAGAAAAAGGACGCCAAAAAGGTAACCCCCCCCCCCCCCCCCATTTTCGGAAGCCGCCCAAACGCCGGGCTTCAGATTTTGTCTGGAGAAGTCGGGTCCTGTGTGCTGAGCGTTAGCAATGACTAGGGAGTTGTCTGAAGCCCATTCAAACTTTTGCCATAAGCGGCCCTCCAAACTTGAAACCCACAAAACCCAACCCTGAACCTTAAAAAACTCCAACTCCTGAACCCTATAGGACATAGCATATATGTATAGCCCAGAAGTGGCTGGTAAGTCGCTGCAGTCTTCTGCGGGTTCGGTCCGTTAGGCTGCTGCCCCTCCCTGGCTGCGCGAAACCCGCGGCTGAGCCGCGCGGGCCCCCGGCCCCCCGAAGGATGGCCCGGGAGTTTAGGGAACTAGGTCAAGGGAAGTTTAGGGGAAATTTGGGTTTTAGGTTGCCAGGGTTTAGAAGACTCCGGTTTCGGAGTAGTGAGGTTTAGTTCGGCTCCTTCGAAATCACCCATTCAGGGGAGGCCACGTTCCCACCTAGAGCCCAAAGCATTTTCAGGTCCTCAAAGAGAAGGGCGGGTATGTAACCCAAGGCTCCCTAATACCCCCCACTACCCCCCCCCCCCAAAGGCTGGAACCGAAACCCCAAAACCCTAGAACCCTACATAAACCCTCAACCTGAAACCCCATATAAATGCTAACCCCCAACACCCTAAAACCCTAGAACCCGAAATCCTCCAAACCCTAAACCCTAAACCCCAAACCCCAAACCCCAAACCCTAAACCCCTAAACCCCTAAAGCCCTATCCCTGGAACCCTAAAGCCCCCCGCCCCAAGATCTCAGGCCGCAGCGCAGCCCCTCGTGTCACCCTTTCGGGGCCAAGCCCAGCTCCGAGGCCTCTCAGGGTTTTTAGGGTTTTTTTGAAGGGTTTTTTCGTTTTATTTTTTTGGTTTTTAGGGTTTTTAGGTGTTTTTTAGGGTTTTTGAGGTTTTTTCGGGTTTTTCGGGTTTTTTGGTGTTTTTTGAGGGTTTTTAGGGTTTTTGGTGTTTTGGGGGCTTTTAGGGTTTTTGGTTTTTTTGGAGTTTTGGGGGTTTTTGGGGTTTTGGGGTTTTTGGGGGTTTTGGGGGTTTTGGGGGTTTTTGGGGTTTTTACCGTTTTTAGGGTTTTTAGGGGTTTTAGGGTTTTTAGGTTTAGGGTTTAGGGTTTAGTTTATCAGTGCTTCACTTATGAGCCCGAGTAGGCCTTTATTTCCCTTTTCTTCAGTGTTCAGGTCCCCTTCGAAGCCCCGTGAAAACCAAAAAGGGCACCCTTTGTATTTCAGGTTGCGCGCGGGTCTAGCTACTGTAGTGGTTCCGGTTGTTATGGTTCTCATGCTTAGTTTGCTTCTGATGATTCGTAGAATCAGTAAGGCTCTTATGGTTACCAGATTTATTCTGGTCATCATGGAGATTAGGGTCCTTAGGGTTATTTTGTGATTACGAGTGCTTATGGTTCTTGATTCTTCGGGTTCTTCTGATTCCGCTTTGATTGATGCTTGTGATTCGTATGATGAATATGATACGCATGATTGTTAGGGCCATGATGGTCAGTGAGGCTATTACGGTTATCGTGGTTGTCATCGTTGTTATGGTCATTATGATTGTTATGATGATTATGAGTATGATGGTTATTCTGGTTCTTGTGATCATGATTCTTTTGATTGCTGCTGGAAGTATGTTTGCTAGTAAGATTAATGTTATGATCCCGCCAACTAATCTATTCATATTTATGTAGTAGAGTTTGTTGTTTATGGACACTCATCCTCCAGCGCGCCTGCAATATGGGGCGGCTTAGACTGCTGTAGAGGTAGTTAGGGGCAGGGGGTTCTGCTAAGCCAACCCCACCCGAATTTCATATAGCCCTAAACACCCACATCCACGAATTCCCATAAATGCCTAGCCCCTCAAATCCCCGTAAACCCTGCAAATCCTGCAAACCCGAAAACCCTTACCAGTTGCTAAGCCCAAAGTCCCCCCCCCCCTCCCCCCCCCGTGCCTTGGACGCTTAACGTCTATTCTGCGCGTGCTCTTTGTTTTCTTGGATTTTTTCACGAAAACCAATTCTGAAATTGGGTTCTCGTTTGGCGCTTCAATGCGGAAGGCGTTCTATCGGATCGCTCCTTGGAGGGTCGGACGGAAAGGGGGTTCGGAACATTTTGCTGGAGAGGCGTGGACCATGCATGGAGGTTGACGGACGGGGAGAGTGACATTCGGTTGATGGGCAGGGGATATGGGGACACGTGGATGCCGCGCGCCCTCCGCGCCTTTCCGCCCTCTGCACGCTCCGCGCCCTCCGTGCCCTCCGCGCCCTCCGCGCGCTCCCGCGCCCTCCGCGCCCTCCGCGCCCTCCGCGCCCGAAGCAAAAAACAAACAAACCCCTTAAGCCCTTAACTCTTAACCCCAAACCCAAGCCTTAACCCTAAACCCCCCCCTCAAATCCCAAAGTAAAACCCCTAACCCCTTTACTCCTTAAGCTTTAAACCCGAAACCCAAGCTATTTCAGTAGGCTTCAACCCCTTAAACCCTAAGCCCTAAACTCTAAACCCTAAACCCTAAACCCTAAACCCAGCTATTTCAGGAGGCCTCAGCCCCATAAACCCTAAACCCTAAACCCAAACCCCTTAACCCGAAACCCAAGCTAGTTCAGCAGGCCACGCCACGGTCCATGAGCTGCGAGACGCGAGAAGCGGCCGAGGAGGCACCGTAGAGTCCTCCTTCGGAGGGTGTAGGGTTTAGGGTTTAGGGTTTAGGTTTAGGAGGGTTTTGGTGGGGGTTTGGGGGGGGCTTGGGGGCTTAGAAGTTTGGGCGGAGGGGGTTTGGGGGTTTGGGGCCCGGGGGTTTAGGGGGGTTTGGGCGGTTTGAGAGGGTTGCCCGCTTGCTTCTCGCATAAAAGAAGCCTGAGGGAAGATTGGCAGCAGAATGCTAACTGTGGGGTCTTTGGGGTCTTTTCAATGGGTTTAGGGTTTTGCTATCATTGGGGTTCAAGGTCTCTTTGGCGATGGCTTGAAATGCGAAGCCCTAAACATTAACACCCCAAGACAAATCCCGAAGACTGCCAGCCCTCGCACACACTCCCAAAGACCCGCTAAAAGTTGAGAGACCAGGAGCCCTCCTTCCAGACCCTAGGATCCCCCCTAAGCGAAGTCCTTTAAAGCTTCTGCAAGACTTTAATGCCCTTGTACACTGCATTCTTTGGCCCCTCAAGCCTCAATCCAAGGCTCCCTCGGCTGTGACACGTTCCCCGAGGGCTCGGAAGCCAAGGCACACGTGCCCTTGCCTGCGCGTTGGTTGCTTCACCCTAACCCTAAACTAAGTGAGGGGTCGCTTCCGTCGAGCGACAGACCCCGAACGCTCGGCCGAGGGCCTTACAGCCCGAGCGCCCAAGCGAAAAGAGAAACCGAAAAGGTGAGGGTTAAGCCTCACCGTCTGTCCTGGACAGGCCAACGGACATCGGCCTTTTTTACGACAACGTCAGTACTCGGCTAAGGGATGGCCGGCACCCAGACCACCTTAAGCGTAGCTAAAGTATAACCCCAAATCGTAACCCTTTGCCTCTGGGTTCAGGGTTTGCCGGGCCCCCCTCCCCGTGGGCCCCCTGGTGGCTGGGTTCCTGGGCCCTAAACCCTAAACCCTAAACCCTAAACCCTAAACCCTAAACCCTAAACCCTAAACCCTAAACCCTAAACCCTAAACCCTAAACCTGCGGGTTTTGGGGGGTTAGGGGTTGCGGTTCGGATTCAGAGGTTGGCTAGGGGTGTTGCGAAGTTGAGCCCAACCACCCCATTATTTACGGAGCCTACCGCCCCTGAAACAGGCGAGGATCCAAAATCTGAGCTAAGGCATGGTAGTTGCCCCCATAATACTTATAATAATACTTATAAGATTACTTATAGTAATAAAAACACTACTAATAATAATAAGACTTATAATGATGCTTATAATAATACTTATCATAAGACTTATAGAGTTCTTCAGGGAGGGGTGTTCAAGGGGGGTAGGTACCTAGGGAACCTTGGGGAGCCTTAGGGAGCTTGGGGAGTAGTAGGAGTATGAGGGACCTTGGGTTCTATGCCCCCTTTGAAGCCCTCCTCTAATATACCCCAAAACCCAAAGTCTGCAAACTCTCGAAACCCCAACAATCACCTTCATCTGAGCATGCTGGCTCTGGGGGCAAAACCAGGTCTAGGTCGAGAGGTCAGGGTGAGGGTCGAGGGGGTACTGTCAAGGTTTAGGATTGTGGGGTGGCTGTGGATTAGGGCTTCTTTCTTCGCATGAGGTTTTCTGGTATCAAGTGGGCAAGGAGTGCTTCGTGCCCTTGAGTCCGGCAGGACGGTGAAGCGCAGGGACTTCGAGCAAGTGATGAAAGAGCGCCGCCGACTGCTGGCCAGCTCCGGCGCGCTTTCTGGGCGGGGGAAGTCGGAGTGGGTGCTTTAGGATTTATAGGTTTCTGAAGGGCTGGGTATGTACCTACTATCCGAACTCCCGAAGGCTCCCGAACCCGAACCCCCATGAACCCCCCTCCCTAAAGGATCCCATTGCGGCCGCGTTCCGCGACTGCAGGCCGAGTACGCCCGAGTACGCCCGAGTACGCCCGAGTGCGCCCGAGTACGTCCGAGTACGCCCGAGTACGCCCGAGAACGCCCGAGTACGCCCGAGTAAACCCGGTCATACCCCGTCATACCCGGTCATACCCGGTCATACCCGGTCCTACCCGGTCATACCCGGGCAAACCCGGGCATACCCGTTCATACCCGGTCATACCCGGTCATACCCGGTCATACCCGGTCATACCGTCCCGTGGTTTTCCGCAGTCGCGGTTTCCCGTTACAGTGAAGGATCCTATAACTCTACCCTGCAGGCCCTCAACCCACGGGAAGCTTGCAAGCACAGAATCTCCAGAATGTCTCGCAACACCTTAAATCCGAAACGCTCTTTCGACCTTAAACCCTAGACGCATGCTTGGAGCTCTTTTGCCCTGAAACCTTAAGCCCGGACCCTATACCCTGACCTTATGCCCTAAGTCCTCAACCCTCAGCCCTTAATCCCTTAATCCTAAACCCTCAGCCCTTAGAACCTAAACCCTAAACCCTGAACCCCAGAGCATCGCGCGATGGAGTCGCACACGCCAGGATGCTCACAGCGCCGTCACGGTGCCTCGCGCTGAGAGCCTGCCGGGGCCCTCAGCAGGCCCTATAGCCCTGAAACAGGGACAGGGTTTAGGCTTTAGGGTTTGGGGTTAGGGTTTAGGGTATATGGAGGTTCAGTGCTTTGGGGATTTCAGGGAAGAGTCGTTTTGGGGGGCTTTGATTCCGCAAGCAGTGGTTACATAGCCAAGCTCGCCAGAATCCGCACCAACGGCAACCAACAGCAACCTTCGATTCGTGCCCCCCTGCTCGATTGGAGCTTCGCTCCAAGGGGTTTGAGGGCGCCTGTGGGCCTGAACCCCAAACCCTAAATCTTGAAGCCCCTTCAACACACACCTGAGCCCACAAGCTACATGCACCCAGGTGTGTAAAGAACGAGTTGAGCTAGCAGTGCTTTGGCAAAGATCAAGGCCCAAGGCGCGACGCGTGGCCAGGATGCTAGGATAGGTTTAGGGTGGAAGGGGGGCCGGTTGCTGGGTTTTGGAGTCCTGGTCTAGTTCTATAATTACAGCTACTTATCCCTGAAAACCATACACTTTTAAAAAGGGTCTACTCCAAGGTAGGGCTTGGGTCCCAGGCTTAGGGAGTGTTTTGACGTTGAGAAGTTCAGGCTTTCGGGAGGTTTGGGGGTTTCGAGTTCAGGGATGCCCCGTCCTCTGCCGGTCTCTGACCTTGCCTGCTTTGGGAAGCTTCGTCCTGGAACACGAAGTTCCCAACCCTCGGCAGCCTTCTCCCGGCAAGGCGGACGATACTGACCACGACCCCAAGTGTTGAGCTGGCACGCAGAGGATCGCCCAGAAAAATGCAGTCCGGGAACTGGGCCATGGTCTATAGGGGTGGTTGTCAAAATTATGATCCCTTTTGGGGTACCCTAAATATAAGGTGCCGCATTATAAAAAAGGGATCCAAAAAGGGACCATAATTTTGACAGCCAGCCATAGAGTACGGAACCTTGAACCTTTGTGGGTGCTGCTGACAATCAATCCGGGCCCTTCTACTTAGGGGGCCCCAAGTGGGTCCATCATTCGGATTCAACCGCACGTAGGGTAGGGGACGTGTTAGTTTAGAGCTGTGCTTGTTCTGGGACGAGCTCTGCGAGTATTCAGTTGAACGCTTGGAAAGTTTGCACCTGTACAGCCTCATGGAGGGGGGGCAGGTCCGGTTGCGCCTTCTCATGAGGGCACTGTGCATGCTGTTTACGTGCCTAGGTCCTGTGGACCTCTCGGCCGTGCCAGCTGGCTGGAAAAGTTAGACTGCACAAGCAACCTTCAGCAGAGCCGTGCTTGAACACGTGCCACTGTGCACGGCTGAGTTTATGACTTCGGATTCTTTGCGGATCTTGGCCTTAAGCGATGCTCGGCAGTGGCCAGTTAGCGTTGGAAGGGGCAGACGAGCTGCAACTTACGGAAGCAAACGACGACCTGGCCGGGTTTTTTACGGTGCATCTCGCAAGAGGTCTAGTCATCTGGCAGCAGCCAGCCGAGTCTTGTCAAAGGGCCCTCTTAACCTATTAGTTACTGTTGCCCAGGGTTTCCGCCCTCCAAAACCTACCGTTTCCGAGTTTTCTCCACTTGTGTGACAGCAAAAAGCTTTTCCCGAGCATCCTCAGATCACCGAGCACTCCACTGCGAATTTCCGCCCAACCTCTCAACCCTAAACCCTGAACCCTGACCCCTAAACCCTAAATCCCCCACGCCTGAACCCTGAACCATCTTAATCACTCAGCTCCAAACCCCAAACCCCAAACCCCAAACCCCAAACCCTAAACCCTGCAAACCCGTAAACTTAAAGCCCTCAGCCCCCCGCGATGGGGAGCCAGACTTGGTCCGAGCATCTTGGGCCATTAAGGGGGTTGATCTCAATCATGGGCCCTCCGCACCCTAAACCCTAAACCCTAAACCCGAAACCCGAAACCCTAAACCCTAAACCCTAATCCCTAGTCCCTAATCCGTAAACCCTAATCAACCACAAAAGGAACTCGGTAGGCCCTTGGGATGTTTCGTATTTTCCCCTATTGGGGTTTGTGAGAGGATGATCTGGAGGAGTATCTTTCAGAGGGTTCTAAGGGCCATCGTAGGAAGGAGGACGCTGCAGCACGCTACAACATGCTAGAGATAGACGAAATCAGCAGGAAGGGGCATTACTATATGACCGTAAGTAGAGAACCCCAACAGCGGGTCCTCATTGAGATCAGCCCCCACGTTTTGCAGACGAACTGCCAGACTCCTATAGCTCACATCTCTTTGATTACGAGGAGTTTGTAGGCAGTTCAAATCCGTTTGTCGTTACAGATACCTGTTACTGCGGCATTAAAGCCCTCGATTAGCAGCACCCCTAGAGAAAATGCAACCTGATCCCTAAACCCTGAACCTTAGACCCTAAATCCTAAACACCAACGCATCTGCTTTCTCTTATTTGGGGGTCGACCTGCAGTATTTGAACTTCCTGGGTCGCCTAAACTTTCAGGAAATGCACTGTAAAACAGACCCGGAAGGGCCACTCCACCCGAAACCCTATAGGGTTTAGGGTTTAGGGTTTAGGGTTTAGGGTTTACGGTCATAAACGCTGCTGCTTTCTGCTGTTGGGGGAGTCTGGGCAGAAATCCTCGCATCCGTCGGCGACTCTTTGTCTGGAGATGGCGGGAGGTGCGCGACGCCTCCGGTCCCTGTTTAGTCTAATGCTTGGTTTGGGGTTTAGGGTTTAGGGTTTAGGGTTCAGGGTTTAGGGTTAGGGTTTAGGGTTTAGGGTTTTGGGTTTCTTGCACAAATGCTGACGGTTTGCTTGTACAGAGCCGGGTGGACCAGGCTAGAACGCCGGCTCATCCTCTAATCCCAGGTTTCATCGCAGCTCCGGATGCTGGAACTGCACCCTAAACCCCAAACCCCAAACCCTAAACCCCAAACCCTAAACCCCTAAACCCCTAAACCCCTAAACCGCTAAACCCCTAAGCCCTACAGGTTTCTCGTTCGGTGATGCGTGCTGAGCCCCAGCTAGGTCTCTGAAGATGCCGAAAACGAGTCCTCTCACCACTAAGCTAAACCACCTCCTAAGACGCCAGGGCTTTAGAGAGGATTTTGTTCACCATGATGTGAGCATCTGTCACTGCTTGATTCCCGCACCCTGAATCCTTTAGCGCCCCAAACCCTGCCTACAGTTCTGGCGAGCTGCTCTCACCTTCCGATGGCTTGCGGCTCTGCGAGTAGGGAGTGAAGGGGCCAGGCACCCTCCACCCTAAACCCTCCCCAACTCCGAATTCTGCATCCCGGGCTGGCTAGGGAGATCTCTGGCACAGGGAAACCCTAAACCCTAAACCCTAAACCCTAAACCCTAAACCCTACTAGCGGCTGTGTAGCTCAAGGCACAGGCTCAAAGCCCCCAAGCCGGTAAAGGTCAGGAGCTTCGGGATTTGAGGTTGAGGGCTCTAGGCCTGCATGCCCGTAAAAGAGGCCCTTTATAGGGTCGGCTAGGGGGATTACAAGGCCTAATAGCCCATGCTGGGGTCTCTCTTTTTTTGGTGGAGTTTAGTACGTTCCCCGCAGCGCCAGCGAAGCCACAAGGAAGTCGCAACTTCCCCCGCAGAAGAGAGACGTTTCGCGTCGTGATGCCGAGGCCCTCCGACTGGCTCAGCTAAGGGTTGCAACTGGGGGGCTTAGGTCATTATAGCTTCGACCACAAGAAGCCAAGCCGACAGGTTTCCTTAACTCTCCTGCTTGTAAATCTCAGTAGATGAGGGAGAATTAGGCACCTTAATACCCCCTGTAGGTCGGCTACCTGTCCGAAATAAGCAAAGGATGGTCTCACATTGATGAGCTCCGGGCTGGGGATGATCCAAGTAATCTTTTTTTTGGTGGGTGGTGGGGAGGGTTCAGGGTTTTAGGGTCTAGGGTTGAGGGTTTAGGGTTTAGGGTTCAGGTAGGGCATAAACCGTGCCTTGCGCACGTTTATTGGGCTGACTGAGCGGTGGTCTGCGAGCCCTCTGCCAAGACGCGAGCGCAAGAGGAAGGCCCGAATCCCATGTCAGGATCCAAGCACAAGAGCCCCCAAACGGGTTTAGGGTTTAGGGTTTAGGGTTTAGGGTTTAGGGTTTAGGGTTTAGGATCCTCACACATCACAGGGCCGAGCAAGTAGGAATCATAGGGCTGTAGCTTCACTCCGAATTGACCGCACCTTCGCGCACATGCCTGGCATTGCCTGGTGAGGGACCCACACAGCCCTGGGAGGCAGAAGCCATAACCACATGGATCAGGATTTAGGGTTTAGGGTTGAGAGTTTAGGGAGGACTTAGCATTCATAGGGGTCTAGGGTTCCAGGGCGAGGGTTTGGGGGTATCTCGAAGGGCTTATTCCCCCAAATCGCCTAAACCCTGAACCCTAAACCCTAAACCCTAAGTCAACGGAACGGGGTTCCAACGCTCTGGGTGCGAGGGGGCGAGGCCTGCTCCATCTGGACTTCGGGGCTCACATTGCTTTTGGGGCTGGCATTATGGGGTTGTAAGTAAAAAGTTAGAAGCTGTAGAAGTTACAAGTTGCAAGTTATAAGTTATAAGTTATAAGTTATAAGATATATTTAGGTCTCGGATCAGCCCTCAACTCCCTCAACCCCAAGATGCCGACGCAAAGCACGCCTACCTGCAGGGCACATGTGGTTCCACGTTCTATGAGAAAAAATAAACGCCAGGCTTGCTCTCTTTTGAAGTGGGGCACGTGAGTGGCCTTTATAGGATGAAAGTGCTGCGCAAGAGCGAAAAGCCACAACTCCCAATCGCTGGGCCCACTGCTGTACTATTTCGATTCCTTTAAAAGAGCATGCGCCTGAAATAATATCGGGGTCGGAAGAATTACTAGTAGTATTCGCTTGTGGTCTCTTAATTATACTACAAGAGCCCCCAAAACCCCATTATGATTATTCAGCACCACCCTACAGCACCGAGACCCCTTTGTCATAGTTGGGTAGCATTTTACATTTCTAAGGGTACTTAAAGCCAATAAGGAATAGAAAATTGAATTTTGAGCTCTCTCCGCCCGCCATTTTGCTAACGCCCCCCCCCCCCCCCCCCCCCCCCCCCCCCCCCAAAAAAAAAAAAATGGCCTCCTTCCTTTCTGGCCGGTTTTTTGGAGTTGAGCAGACTCTGGTTCCGACACCCGAAGCCCGATGTTTGTCCCCATGCCCATGAAGCACTAACCCTCAACCCCATAAATGGGGGTTTACGGTTTAGGGTTTAGGGTTTAGGGTAGGGTACCTTATTGGGGTCCTGATTCTTAAGGGAATCCTACTATTCGGGAGTCTTTTTAGGGGGGTCCCCTGTTCTCGTAAACCCCCAAATCAACCCGAGGGCCCAAACCATGCAAACCTCAAGCCATGCGTGCTCGCCGCACCACGTTTCAGCATCACTTTGTCTGCGAGCACGGGGCGAGTCTGTCCCAGGCCGACTTCCTCTGAAGTTATATATATCTATATATGTATCTATCATCTATCTGTATTTATAACACTATATCTATATGCAATCCATCTGAAGGGACCAAGCCACTTCCACTTCAGATACCCCCCCCCGCCCCCCACCCCCACCAAGGTCGCAGCCCTTCATACCGCAAGCTCCTGGGGTGGGGGCCGAAACCTCAAGCCTACCCTTCCCCCCCCCCCCCCCCCCCCCCCCCCCCCCAAACCCCCCCCCTAAACCCTAAAACCCTAAACCCTAAACCCTAAACCCTAAACCCTAAACCCTAAACCCTAAACCCTAAACCCTAAACCCTAAACCCTAAACCCTGAACCCTGAACCCTAAACCCTAAACCCTAAACCCTAAACCCTAAACCCTATACCCTATACCCTATACCCTAAACCCTAAACCCTAAACCCCAAACCCTAAACCCTAAACCCTAAACCTCCAAGTCAAAAGCAACCAGTCCGGCCAGGGCCCCAGTGACATGGCCTTCGCTGACGAGAACGCCGTTCCCTCTGCTGGCGATGCCAAGGCCTTCCAGCTGTTGGCGCTGCATGGAAGTTCAGGGTTTAGGGCTAGGGTTTAGGGTTTAGGGTTTTAGGGTTTTAGGGTTTAGGGTTTAGGGTTTAAAGTTTAGGCTTTAGGGTAGGGCTTGTCAAGGTCTACCTGGAGTAAGTTTCATGACCCTTAAAAGACAATTCTTGCACACGTTGAATCCATTTACCCTTCCTCGGGCCATGGCTGGGGTACTAGATTGTTTGTGTGTGTGTGTGTGTGTGTGTGTGTGTGTGTGTGTGTGTGTGTGTGTGTGTGTGTGTGTGTGTGTGTGTGTGTGTGTGTGTGTGTGTGGGGGTTGGGGTGCGGATGAAGACCCCAAAAATTAACACTCCGACTAGTAAGACCTAAACGCTACACCCAAAGCCCTGAAGGCCCTAGGTCCTATAAGCAAGCCTATGTAAGCCATAACCCCGAAGAGCCGAAATCCTCTTCTTCAGAGCTGCGCGACCTCCGAAACTCCAACCCCCCTCAGCCCATGATGGCTAGAACCCTAGGCCCTAAGTGGCCACTTCTCCAGGTTGAGGTTTCCATTGTCCTAAACCCTATAGGGTTTAGGGGTGGGGGTTCAGAGTTTAATTACAACTTGGGGCTCAGGGTTTAGGGTTGGGGTTGAGGGTGTAGGGTGTAGGGTTAAGCCCCAAACCCTGTCAGAATCCCCCCCCTCCCCTGGACCTCACATGGCCACGCATGCAGTCTCAACAGCCGAACATGATGATATCCTGGACCGCCCCCCATCGTTACTCTTACGCGTGTTCTTACTCTTACGTGCCATTGTACTCGTACATAAGCTCTTGCTCGGAGTCTTGTTTCCTTAGCTTACTTGATCATGAGCATCGTTTACGTGTGGTTTGGTTGCTGCCCGTTGGCCAAGCCTGTAGGCCCCAAGACCCAAACTGGCATCTTCAAGGGCCCAGGCAGATGGCGATCCATGAATCAAGAGCTCAAGAGTTCTTGTAGAGAGACCCTAAACTTCCAGAACCCTGAATCAAGAGAGCTCAAGAGTTCTTGAGGGCTTCGGGTCCTTGTAGAGACACTAAAACTCCCGGAGCCCGTGAATCGCAGCCAGGTGAAGTCAGCAGCCACGCGCGGGCGGGTCTTGGGTGAGGTGAATCGCTGCGCAGACAAGGCCATTTGGCAGGGCTGCATTCCTGGTGCCACTCTTGCTCTGGCGGTCAAGTGAACCCCAAACTCCTAAAGCTATTGAATTCCGAAGCCCCCCCGCCCACCACGAAAGTCATATAGGAGGTAGTTGGATAATGTTCCGCACATCTGCCGTGTCGGCTCGACCGATCAGAGCCCTGGAGTTCTTCCATGGCACTCGCCGCATGTTGCACCACTGAGACCTTGGGGCGACCTGTCCAGTTGATGCTTCAGGACCTTCTCAGTACGCACAGACCGCGTTGCGGGCGACACCGCGGCACCTGGTTAAGAGAACGAAGGGCCCAGGCAGATAGGAGCCATCATTGGAGCCCTTGTTGCGACGACAGGGGTCCGCCGCTTCCAAGAGATCAGGAGCATTCTGCCCATCACTGCGCCCCTCCGATACTTTAAAGAAGGCCAGCCATCGCCTGTTGACGGGCTGGTTGAGGGCCTCTGCATCTCGATACGGGAGCCTGAATAAGTGCCGCCAAGATCGACTCCCTATTCAAAACTCTATCGAGACGCAACAAGCAACCAGAAGCAATAATATTATATCCCTACATAGACATATCTACACCCTAACATATTCCTAATCCCCCTGCATGTGTACTTTCGGGAGTTGCGCATTAAACCCCATAAACCCTAAACCTTAACCCCCTCTATATTCGGGAGTTTGGTCGCCATCGCATGGCCCTCGACAAGTCCGTGGTTGCCCAGACGAAGCGGCTCAAAACCTTCGCGCAGGAACGGCGCTGCTCGGCTTCGTTGTTGCCCCAATGTCATACAGGAAAGGCCTATACGTAGTGGGGTTTAAGGCGTGTAGGGGTTTTGGGTTTTAGGCACTAGTGTTGATTTCTTTTGCATATTTTCGTTCTTAGGTGGTCTATCCGCTCTTATTAGGGACTTCGTGCTAACATGGGTATTGTATGGTATTGTGCTCAACAGGGCACTGTGCTTAGAGCTGCTGAGGATGGCACGATGCTCTGAAGCTGCTAGCGGAGGTGGAGCGAACGCTTCGGCCGACCCTCGTGACGTACAGCACGGCCCTGGACGCCTGCGCAAAAGCCGCGGCGTGGCCCCACGCCCTGGCGCTGTTGCGGAGGATCGCGCGAAAGGGCCTGGAGGTGTCCCCTGTGGCCCAGACCACCGCCATCAGCGGCCTCGCAAGGGGTGGAAAGTGGGAGATGGCCTTGCAGCTCCTGGGGGAGCTGAAGGCGAAGGAGATTCAGGCGCAGGTGCTGGCCCACAATGCAGCAATCAGTGCATGCGGAAGAGGGGACCAGTGGGAAAAGGCCTTGTTCCTCTTCGCAGAGATGGAGGACATAGAGCTGTCCCCGACACTGATCACGTACAATTCTGTTCTGAGCGCCTGTGGGGGTGAAGAGGGGTGGCCACAGGCTCTGGTTCTTCTGGATCGGTTGAGCACTGGGGCATTTCATCCCGATAACTTTTCTTTCAACTCAGCCATCACTGCCTGCAAGCAGGGTTCGGAATGGGGCCGTGCCTTGTTATTGTTTGACATGGCTCTGGATCGACAACAGGGCACGCTGATCACATTCAATGCAGGCATAGCTGCCTGCGCGAAGGCTCGACAGTGGATGAGGGCTCTGAGCATACTGCACAAAGTCCAGCAATCGAATCTGACGCCGACGATCGTTACGCTCAACTCGGCCATAAGTGCTTGTGAGGCAGCTGGGCAGTGGCAACAGGCTCTGTGCCTGCTGAGTAGCGCCACAGCTACAAGCCTTCAGCCAGGCGTCGTGACTTTCAGCACGGCGATCAGTGCATGTGCAGCAGTTGCCGCATGGACGCGGGCGGTGGCCGTGCTTGACGCTCTCCATCATGCAAGGCTTCAGTCGAACATTGTCACACTTAATTCGCTGATCACCGCCTTCTCGCAGGCTGAGAAGTGGCAGCATTCCCTGGTGGTCCTTGCACGTATCTGTTCACATATGATGAGACCAGACACAATCACATGCAACTCGGCCATCAGTGCATGTGAGAAGGGAAACGCCTGGGAGGTTGCTCTTGTTCTGCTGCAGGAGGCCGATGCTTTGCACGTACAGCCGGACGTTTCCACCTACAATGCGACAATCAGCGCCTGCGAGAAAGGCTCTCGCTGGCTGATTGCCGTACGGCTTCTGCTGGCCTCCCAGGGCGCCGTTTGCCCGGATGTGGTGACGTACAATGCCGCCATCAGCGCCTGCGCGAAGGTCGGCCACGTTGGCTGTGCCCTTAAGCTGTTGGGAGAGGTGGAGGCGGCTCGGCTGCGCACCACGACCATCACGTACAACGCCGCGATCAGCGCCTTTGCAAAGGCAGGGCACTGGCCCAAGGCCGTGGCACTTCTGTGCGAGGCTGTGGCGAAACGTCTGGAGCCCAACAGCATCACATACAGCACCGCCCTCAGCGCCTTCGAGAATGCCGGGGAGTGGGAGCGGGCCCTTCTACTCGTATGGTCGCTACCTCCAACTCTGATCAACATCATCTGCTACAATGCGGCCTTGAGCGCTTGTGAGAAGGGCGGGCAGTGGCAGCAGGCTCTGGGTGTCCTGTCCGCGCTGGAAGCGAGGGCCTTAGATCCCACGAAAGTTACGCTGAACGCAGCCATCAGCGCCTGCGGGCGTGGGGATCAGTGGCAGAGGGCCTTTCTGATACTGGGCCACTTCAGTGAAGCCGGCCTGTGGCCAGATGCCTTCACATACAGCGCGCTTCTCGCCGCCTGCGAGAAGGCCTCGAGGTGGCAGCAAGCTTTGCAGTTGCTAGGCAAGGTCGAGGCCAGCGGCGTTTTGCCCTCGGTTGTCATCTACAATGCAGCCCTCGGATCTTGCGAGCAGGGCAGCCAATGGGAGCTGGCCATGCTTCTGCTGGACCAAGTAGGCCGGCATCGCCTGCAAGCCACCTCCATCACACTCGACGTGGTCCTGGGCGCCTTCCAGCGGGCCGCGCAGTGGCAGCACGCCCTTTGCCTGCTGGACTCCATGGGCCGCCGATCCCTGGCCGACGCCGCCAACGTGGACGCCGTGGCCTGCGCTTGCGAGGCGAGGCGTCGGCCCAGGCCGGCCCCGGCCCTGCTTGGGCAGGCGGCGGAGCAGCTGCAGGAGCTCCTGGCAGCCGAAGGCTCCAAGGAAGCCTACGAAACAATTCTGAATCCCTACCATGATTGAGGATCATTTGTGCGAAGGCGACTCAGAGGTCATTGAAGGTTGCAGGCAGGGTGTCCGATTGGAACCGTACCTGCATCAAGCTGCGATGAAAGGAGGGCTTTGAAGGCTTGATTTCGGGACCTGTTTGTTCAAGGACCGGGCCTGTGTCAAAGGCTCGGATAGGCTCGGATGATTGAGGACCTGCCCCTAGAAGGTTCCGAAGCCCTAGCACCCCCTCGCCCGCCTCCCCTAACCCTCAAAGCCCTCAAGGCCCTGAAACCATCCGAAACCCTAAACCCTAAACTCCTAAACCCTCAACCCTAAACCTCAAACCCCAAACCCTGCACCCTAAACCCTAGCCCTGAACCCACTTAAGCCCTAAAGCCCTATGCCAAAGACATCGTCTTTGATGGCTTCACCAGCGCAGGGCCTGACGCCCAGCAGCGCAGAGCTGGAGAAGAGGCCGCCACGTAGGGATTTGGGGTTTGGGGTTTAGGGTTTAAGTTTTTTTTGGGGGGGGGACTTAGGGTTTTGATTTTTTTTTTTAGGGGGGGGGGAGGGGGGTTGGGTTGGGATGTTCGCCCCTTATACTAACAGTCCTTATTAATAGGGATCATAACAGGGGGTACTAGAAATCCCAATTATTGACTGTTAGTATAAGGGGGGAACATCCCAAATGGAGAGTCTTTAGGGCTTAGGGTTAGGGTTGGGGTTCTATCAGTCTTGGGCTTGTCCTCCAAACGGGCCCATAAGAAGTTTGGGATGTTCACCCTTATGTAACAGTCCTTAATTGGGATTGTAATAGGGGGTACTAGAATCCCCATCAAGGAGCTGTTCGCATATGGGCGAACATGCCCACTGAAGCTCCACGATTACACGGATAGGGCTGAGCGCAGCTGCCAGACTCCCCTCCCGCGCACCCTAAACCCTAAATTTAAGAGCCTCCGGCTCAAGCCGCCGACCCCGCAGGAGAACAAGTTTAAGGTTTGGGGTTTGGTGATTTTGTTTGCGGTTCCTGTTGAGGGGGGGGGTGGGGGGGTGGGGGGGGGGGTGGGGTGTGGTCCATGAGTTTACGCGGTGTGGGTGGCCTGTTCCTCCACGGAAAAGCTGGCGGGGTACCCCCCCCCCCCGCGTTTTAGGGGGTAAGGAGGGAAAGAGGGAGGTTTTCACTTTTCCCATCCAACACGCCGCCAGGGTCGGCGGACCCTAAACCCTAAACCCTAAACCCTAAACCCTAAACCCTAAACCCTAAACCCTAAACCCTAAACCCTAAACCCTAAACCCTAAACCCTAAACCCTAAACCGTAAACCCTACACAGGTACATCGACGCCAAGCGTAACGAGCTTCGAGCTGGCCGGCTGCGCAACGAGCGATCCTGCCACGCAGCCATCCACAAGCCGCCCCTGGGACTCTATTTACCTACAGTTTGCTAGTAACTACCCCTACAATTAGTAGGTCTTAACCCCTAAAACTGTAGGGTAAAGTTTAAAGAGCGTCCCAGGTCGGTGTACACCAAGCTCTCGACAAAGGCGTGGGCCGCAGATTCCGTAGTCTGCGTTGGCGATGCTTGTTTGCATGTTGGAGGGCCTCGGACCCTAAACCCTAAACAACCCTAAACAACCCTAAACCACCCTAAATCCTAAACCCTAAACCCTAAACCCTATACCCTAAACCCTAAACCCTAAACCCTAAACCCTAAACCCTAAACCCTAAGCCCTAAACCCCCTTCCAGCATGCCAGGCCACGGTGCCCCACGAGTTCAACTTGAGCGTCTCCCGGCGCAGCGTGGGCGGATGCCCTCTCCTCAGCCCTGAGCAACCTGGGTTTTGGACTACTATACTTTAGTGTTTTTTTTTTTTTTTTTCTGGTTCTGGGTTCCTGTTACATAGCTACTTCTACTTTGGAGTACTATACTTTAGTATTGTTTTATGGTTCTGGGTTCCTATTATATAGCTACTTCTACCCTAAAAAGGTATAGACTTCTTTCCCAGGGTCTACTTCAAGATAGGGCAACTCATCTCTCTGCTTCCTTGGGCTTTGGGTTTTAAGGGTTGAGGCCTGTTCTGCCTTTTCAGCATCTTGAAGGGTACTACTTGGGATGTTCCCTCTTATGCTAAGAGTCCTTAATGGGGATTCTAGTACCCCCTAGTAGAATCCCCATTCAGGACTGTTCGTATAAGGGGGAGCATCCCAAGGTATTGTTTTTTGTGCAGAACTTACCCCGAAACCCCTAAACCCCGAAACCCCGAAACCCCGATACCTCTTAACCCCGAAAGCCCGAAACCCCGAAACCCCTAAACCCCGAAACCCCGAAACCCCTAAACCCCGAAACCCCGAAACACCGAAACCCCCAAACCCCGAAACCCCTAAACCCCGGAACCCCCTAAACCCCGAAACCCCGAAACCCCGAAACCCCGTATCCCCGAAACCCCGAAACCCCAAAACCCCCAAACCCCTAAACCATCCCTGAACCCTAGACCCTAAACCCCAAACCCCAAACCCTAAACCCTAAACCCTAAACCCCGAACCCCACCCCAGGTTCGGAGAGCTCCGATATGGATCTGGAGCCCGGGGCGGAGTGGACCTCTTCCCTGCGCAGGCCAAGGGGGTTTAGTGTTTTCAGGGTTTAGGGTTTGGGGTTTGGGGTTTAGGGTTTAGGGTTTAGGGCTTTCAGGGTTTAGGGCTTTCAGGGTTTAGGTTTATAGGGTTTAGGGTTTCCTCCGCGGCTGTGCCTTCGTCCTGGAGGGTTCTAGGTAGGCCAAGGCCTTAAGGTTTCGCTGTCAGGGTTTTCAGGGGGGTCTAGGGCTTTAGGCCCTCCTCCGAGATGTGTTGTATTTTCCCTATTTTGGCTTCGTGATGAAGGATGAATGATGTCGAGGAACATTTTCCCGTGGGCCTTTAAGGCCCATCCTAGGGTTGATTGGGTTTAGGGTTTAGGGTTTAGGGTTAGGGTTTAGGGTTTGGAGTTTCGGGTTTAGGGTTTAGGGTTCAGGGATGTTGAGGGTCAAGGGCGCTTGCCCTTTGGAGGCTTAACATCACCCCCCCCAACGAACCTTTGACAACAAGGCCTGCTGGGTCCCCAAAAGCCTAGAAAAAAAGGTTTAGGATTTTGGGTTTAGGGTTAGGGCCTTAGGGCTTGGGGTTGGGGGTTTCGAGTTTCGGACGGTCAGGGTTGTAGGGGCCTTTGACCTAGGCCTCTTGTGCCGCACCATCTCAAGATGATCCTAAGAGGATCCTGCAGGCAAATCTTGACTACTTGCTGAAGACCCCCCAAAGAATTGACAACAAACACATTTTCTTGCAAATAGTAGCTGAGTTCTCTTAGAAAATTGAGCCGTTGAGGGAGCACAGGTTGTTGTGGGGGGCTGAGGGGGGGGGGGGTAGGGCTTTTGAGGGCTTCAGGGTTTGGGGCGTCGGGATTTTCGGGATTGGGGTTTCGGGGTTGGGGGCTAAGGATTGGGTATGGGTTGTTTGATCCCAAGGCTCCTGTTGTGCGCTCAAGCATGTTCGGTTCGGGGTTTTGGGTTTCGGTTTAGGGTTTTAGGAAGCCCGAAAGTGAGATACTAAGCTATTACTTGAGGTCGTGGGCAGGCTCGGGCCCCATCTTCCTGAGCTCATGCCCTTGCCAAATCTTGTGACAAACCCCAAACTCTCAACCGCTAAGCCCAAATCCTCAACCCCCTGATCGTCCTTCCATTCCCCGAAGCCTTAGAAAGCGCACTCTGGTCGCGGGTGCCCTACTGAGCCCTAAGCCCTGTTTAGTTCAAGTCTTACCAAGGCCCTACTTACCTAGCCGATACATGAACTTTCAACTTTAGGTTGTTCTTACTTAGAAGGATTAATAAAGAGCATCCTATTTTTCATAGCTAGGGTTTTGAAAACCTAAGCTAAGCCTCAGACCTAAACCCCAAACCCCAGTAGTGCCGCGAACTGACAGGGGCCGCTCCAGCAGTCGCGGCCGCCACCCCGAGCTGACAGTTCCCAAAGGCCTGGGGCCCAGGGTTCTGGGGCTGACGGGGGTTGGGGGTTTAGGGTTCAGGGTTTTAGGGGTTTAGGGGTTTAGGGTTTAGGGTAAAATGACAGTTCCCAAAGGCCTGGGGGGGGGAGGGGGGCCCGGGTTGTGGGGTTTGGGGCCGTTGGGGGTTTAGGGTTTAGGGTTTCGGGGGTAGGATTTAGGGGTTTAGGGGCTGAAAAGGGGTTTTAGGGTTCATAGGGTTTGGGCTTAAGCTGGCCCTACGGCTTAAGGGTTGGGGGTGTGGTGGTTCCCAGTTCATCGGGGTGCGGGGTGCAGGGGTCGAGGTGGAAGGATCCTGGCTCTCCGGCTCATGGCCCTAAACCCTTACATGCACCGCGAGATCCTGGCTGAAAAGAAATGGGGGGGTTCCGAAGCCCTGATGCAGAAGCCTAAGCTAGGGAGGGCCAGCCCAAGCAGGGCCTTAAACTCCAACAGCATCCAACAGCCCTCAACTGAAGTCTAGCACCCTCAAACCCCAAAATCCTTAGAATTCCAAGCCCCATGCAACCTCAAGTCCCCTCAGAGCTTAAACCCTAAACCCTAAACCCTAAACCCTAAACCCTAAACCCTAAACCCTAAACCCTAAACCCTACACCCTACACCCTAAACCCTAGACCCTAGACCCTAGACCCTAGACCCTAGACCCTAGACCCTAGACCCTAGACCCTAAACCCTAAACCCTAAACCCTAAACCCCAACCGCCCTCAAGGGCCCTCAAGAGCCTTCATCTCGCAGGCCCCCACCTTCACACCTCCTGGCGTCCGCGGAGCACCTCGAGGGGACTCTCAGTGCACCAAGGGGAGGCTGAGAGCTTTACTTAGGCAAGCCCTTAAGGCTTAGGGTTTAGGGTTTAGGGTTTAGGGTTTCGGGTTTAGGGTTTAGGGTTTAGGCTCTAGGCCCTTGGGATATTTGGCACGTCGCCTTGTGGGGTTTAAGAGGATCATGCTTACATGTTCCCTCATTCCCGACGAAGAACCAGTAGTTGAACCCCAAACCCTAAACCCT